GAGCACTAATGGCTTTCTTTAAACTTATTAGAACCGGGGCAGCTAAGTGGAGCAGTGGATAGAGCACCAGACCTAATGTCAGGAGGACCTGAGTTCAAATCCTGACTCAGACCAAACATTGACACTTACTAGCTGTGTGACCCTGGGCAAGTCACTTAACCTCAGTTGCCTAAAACAACAACAGTAACAAAATGTAAACTTATTAGAACCTCAGCAAAAATGAAGTGAGAACTTGGGAGATCTCACAGGGAATCACCCAGGCAACTCCTGTGCCTGGCTTCCAAGACACTCTGTAGCTCAGCCCCTCTCCTGCCTATGCCCCTTTATTCAGAGTAGTGTCTTCATTGTGCCATATTCACTCAGTTCATTCTTGCTGCCTTCATTCAGGGCCTCCCTGGAATGGCTTTTCCTCCCCTCCAATCTACCACATCCTTCATATAACTCAATTCCCACTTCTCCCATGAAGCCTTCTCAAACTACTCTAGCCTTTGGTGATCTCCTTCTTTCAAAGTCCTACAACAGTTATGTATAGTCTACATGATACTAGTTAGTATTTAATTACGTACTGTGTTCCATTTTCACTTGTTTTCTGTTTTTGCCTCATCTTCCCAATTATAAACTTATATAAGATTATAGGCTCTTGAGGGCAGGGACCCTGACTTATACACTTTCTCTGTGTCCCCATAGTCACCTAGAATAATGCTAGGCTCATAAGAGACACTCAGTAAATAACATCCAAATGACTGAGCCCAGAAGAATGGTGAAAGAATTGAGGTTATTTAACCAGTAAGAGAGAAGAGCAATAAAAAGGAATTAAGACATCCCCCTGCACTTGAAAGCTAAAAAGAAATTCAGGCTGAAATAAAGAGCATATTCTCTCTAACAGTGCTACCACCCAGGCTCCAACCTTAAAATCACCTTTGATTCTTCAGAGGCAGCTCGGTGGCAGAGGGAATAGAATGCAGGAAAATCTGAGTTCAAATCCGATCTCATACACTTACTAGCTTTGTGAGCCTGGGCAAGTCACTTAACCTCTGTCTGCCTCAGTTTCCTCATCTGTAAAATGGAGCCAATAATAGCACCTAAGATCTCAGGGTAAGGATCAAATGAGATATTTGTAAAGTGCTTTCCAAACTTTAAAGCACTCTATAAATGCTAACTATGATTATTTCCAATCCCTCATTCCCAGCATCTAATGAGTCACTCAATCCTGTGGATTCCATCCCCACAATCTTCCTCTCTACTTACACAGTGCCTGGGGCCTAGTTCTAGCCCTCATCACCTCTGGCCTGGACTTTTTTTTAGCCTTCTAACTGGCCTCCCTACCTTCACTTATGGCATCCTGTCATTGTCCAGCTCAAAACTTTCAGTGGCTCATTATAGCCTATAGGATAAAATACAATTTGAAGCTCTTCACTCAGTCTTATTTCTTTCCATGACCCTCCTTCCTTCATTCTACAATCCTGCTGACTGGGATGGTTCTCTGATCTTACAACATTTTGGTGCCTTGGTATCCTTGCCCATACTCTACAGGTGGTATAACTCCTCGCCAGTGCCTGTCCAAAACCCCAGTTCAGGTGCTACCTCCTTGATGAAACCTGAAATCATTCTCTTGCTCTTCACACTTTCCTAGCGCACTTTGCCTGGATTTTCCTTGGCTTCCATCACATTCCACTGTGTAGCATTCTTATCTATATACATTTCATTTCACCCTACTAGGCTTGTAAGGCCTATGTGGATATCATATTTGTATTTGTATCCCTAGGACTTGCCACAGTACCTGGCATAATAGGTGCTTAATAAATGCTGAATTGAATTGAATTTTTTAAAACCACCAAACCTTTACCACCCCCCGCAACATGTCTGGCATTCAACAGAATGATTCTTAAGTCTTCTTCACTAGCTCTGGAATGTTTTCAGAAGAGAAGGTTCCTCCTGGAAAGACTTGTATGGTCTGATGGAGAGTGAAGTGAGCAGAACCAGGAGAATGTTATACCCAGTAACAGCCACATTGAGTGATGACTGACTCTGATAGACTTAACCCCTCTTAGCAATACAAGGATCTAAGACATCTCCAAAAGCCTCATGATGGAAAATGCTTTCCACATCCAAAGAAAGAACTGTGGAGTTTGAACGCAGATCGAAGCATACTGTTTGCTCTTTTTTTTCTTCTGTTTTGTTTCCTTTTTCTGGTGGTTCCTCCTATTGGTTCTAATTCTTACTTACAACATGACTAATGTGAAAATAAGTTTAATAGGAATGTATATGTATAGCCTATATTAGATTGTGCACCATCTTGGGGAGGGAGGTAGGGAGGGGGAGAAAAATTTAAAACTCAAAAGCTAATGGAAGTGATTGTTGATAAATTAAAATAAATTAATTAAAAAAAAAGAATTTTTTTTTTAAAAAGAGAAGGTTCCTCACCTGTTCCACCTGGGCTAAGTGTAGTAGTGCCTAAAGGGAGGAGACTGGACAAGATGGCGAAGGGAGGTTTAGACAAAGGAGTAAAGTGAGAACTCCAAGGTAGAGGGAGAAATGGATCCTTCTTTCAATCAGTTACCCAGCCAGCCCTGGGAGGAGAATGTAGCTCTTCTGTGCCCAGGTCTCAAGAAGAAGAGAGGAGAACAGGATGGCGCAGCTGCTAGTGCCTTCCTGGAGGTGTGGGGGTAGGAGGGAAGGACAGTGGCCAGAAAGCAGCCATGGAGGACCCAGAAGAGTTATCAAATGGAGGAGATGAGGTGTGTTGGATATAGAAGCCCAGGACCTGGATGTTCTTTACATCCAAGCTCAGGCTAGCAAAACCACCTCTGGTCTGATCTGGGCTGGTTGAAGAGAAAGGGGACTTGGGCCTGGGGAGAGAACCCCAGCCCGCCAGCCTTGCTCACTCCCCTCCAGGTCTGGTAGGGAGTCTGGTATCAACTCTGTCTGTTCTGAGCTGTTCCCTGTAGGCGTCTGGAGAGAACACACAGATGGACTGGGCTGATGGGACTGGAGGGGTGGGGAGTCTTCATAGGGAGGAGGGGATGGCTCTTGCCGCAGAGGGTCATCATAGTCATTATCATCAACAATGATACGATTCTGCAGTGCTGCCTTTGCATCAGGCCTACTCTGTTGGAGGGCATCTGATCATGCACCACAGCTGGGCAGCAAACCTTGCCCTAAGAATAAGGCCCTGAGGTGCCTCCCTTCACCCTACCCCCCCCCATCTCAACCACTCACCATTGTCAACCTTATTGCTAAGCTCTGGCCATTTCTGCCATTCTTTCAACTTTGGCTTTCTCTAAACACATCATCCCTGGAATGGAGCCTTACGTGGTGAACACCTGCTGCTTCTGATCACCCACGGTCCCTTCACTGTCCTTGATCCTCCTCATTCCCAGGGACATCTGGGACATCTGGGACATTGCTCTAGCCCTTTCATGCCTCAGGAGGCTGATCGTGTGTCTCAGGGTGAGTGGTGGAGGCCCTGCCTGGGGGAGCTGAATCAGGAGCTCAGATAGCTCTAAGTGTATGTGTGTATGTGTGTGGGGAGGGGTGATGTGGGAGTGGGGGTGGAATATGAGGGGGAACTGCTGCTTTTGTTCAGGTGCATGGCAGAGGCAGGAGCAGCCGTGGGCGTCCCCAGGGTAGGCACTGACAGCTCCACTTTCTCTGCAGGTGATGGGGCTGCTCTGCAGCAGAGGAAGCACACAAGCCCTATTCTACTCCTCCACCCCCTGCTCCATAGACTGAGAGTCCAGGCTGAGCTTGCTAAAGGAGGCCCTTCCAAGAATTTTGCATGACTGTGGAAGAGAAGAAATGGGGACTGGAGATATTCCTGGGGAATTTGATATTAAACCAATGTTGTGACATTGAACATCTATTATCTCTGAGTTCAGGCCCTTTCTAAAAGAGTCAGATTGCCCACAAAGGGTCCTTGAACACTGACACAATAGCCAAAGGCTAAACAGATTTTTTTTCTTTTACATTTTTCTGCTGGGGGTGGAGGCAGGAAGTCACCTGAATCTTTAGAAATTGCCTGGTGGCTGAGAATTTGCTCAGGCTGACTTTAGGGTAACATGTCTGTAGCATAGACCAAACTCAGACTTGTTCTTGGCTTTGTACCCTATGTCTGGGCTGGAAGGATTGGTGATGCTGTGAAGAGGATGGGACTAGGAGTAATGCAATCACAGGTTTAGAGTGGGAAATGACTTCAGTGCTCTGATATGAAGTCCAACCTCATTTTAAAGATGAGGGAATTGAGGACCAGTGAGGTTGACCAACTTGTCCAGGGTCCCACACCTGGGAAGTGACTGAGGAAGGATTCAAATCCAGGTCTTTCTGACTCCAAGTCCACCACTCTTAGCTACAAACAGTTTTACAGCTCGGGCAGACAGAGGTTCAAGTGACAGCTAATAAGCATCAGAGTTCACATCTGAACTCAGGTCTTTTTGACTTATAGGTGGAAAGCTTTATCCAGCAGATCACCTGAGGTCACTAAGTCACAGAAAAGTATAATAACTTTCCCAAAGGTGCCCAGCTAATAAATAGTGCAGCAGCTAGTAAGTTTCAGTGGAAATAGTGATAGATTTGAAGGCAGAGGGTCTTCTGTGTTGTAGCCTTGTCTTCTAGGGCAAGGTTTTGAGGATAAAATTGATTAATATTTTTAAAGTATGTGTGGGATTACAAAGCTCTAAATCCTATGACCTTATGACCCTGACCCATACCACTGCCCTTCCTACCACTTAAGGTACGGCAGAAGGAGCCCTGGAAGCCAGGGAGAGTTTCTGTCCCAGCTCTTGCATTTACTACGTGAGCAAGTCACTTGACCTTTCAGAGTTCATCTGTTAAATGGGGACAATGACCCAAGGTCACAGAATCCAAGATCGGATGGGATCTTACAAACCATATAAAAGAATAACTCTGTAAACGTAAACTGCTAGACAACCCGGACCCCATAGCAAGTGTTCCACCCCGACGCCATCCCCGTGGAAGCCCAGAGAGGCATGGGGCATCGGGTGTCGTAGAAAAACGCTTCTTTATTTCAAATGGGGCGGTGCGCCCTGGCCGGTGCCTCCGGGGCGCAGAGGCTTAAGAAACACGGGGAGCCTGCAGCCAGGTATGCGGCCAGTCCTTACCTTTAAGAATCTTAAAGGGTAGGTGCCCAGGTGCAGCAGGCAAATCAGAAAATCCTGCAAGGAAGTCGCAAAATAGCACGTCCAGGTCTTTGCCTTTAAGAACCTCTTAAACGAGAGGCGGACCAAGTGCAACTGAAGGGGGTAGGGGGAGGCTGAAACGTAAAGTTAAAAAGTCTCAAGAAGAATCTTCAGGACTTTGCCTTTAAGAATCTCTCGAAGACTTGGTCGTAGCGAGGACAAAAGCGGCAAATCCTGCAATGAGTCTCAACAGAGCATTCCCAAGCCTCGCTTCCAGGAGCCTTCTAAAGGAGAACGTGGTCAAGCACGGCCCCAAATATTAATCATAACAATAACAGGAATTATAATTGCAAACAAATCGTTCTCCTTCCCTCCCCTGACCCACGTATCAATGTCCTCGCCTTTAAAGTGCCCTTAAAGGGACAGGCGCCCAGGACAGAGATGTCCGTAGTCGTCACCCCCCGCCGCGGGGCTAGGGCCACCTCTCCAGGTACCCCGGCCTCGGTCAGACCCGGGGAATCCTGGGAGTTTTTGGTTTCCTAGATGGGTTTCCTCAACGGAAACCGACGGGAGGGGCGCAGGGAGGGAAGGTGACCATGGCAACCGCGGTGACCATGGCGACGGGCCGGGCCGGGATCTCCCTCAGAGCACGGAGAGGTCGTGGCACGACTTGGAGCGCTGCTTGAAGAACTTGGCGTGGCGGGGCACCAGGTTGGCCAGGAAGCGCTTGGCCTTCTTGGTGAGGCTCTCGCGGCGCGCGGGCGGCGGCGGCGGGGGCGGCGGCTGCAGCTGAGCGGCGCCGTCGGGGCCCTCGGGCTTGCCCTCGGCCGCGGCCGCCGCTCGGGCCCGGCTCCGGCGCAGGCGGATCTGGCGCACGGCACCCTCGAACAGCTCCCGCGTGTTGTGGTGCAGCGCGGCCGACGTCTCGATGTGCTTGCAGCTAAGCATCCCCGCCAGGTGGCGGCCCTCTGCGGCGGGGACACGAGGCAGGGCCCGGGCAGGGGCGCCCGCGGGGCCGCGAGGAGATCTCGTTAGGAACGAGGATCCCCCAAGCCTGCACGTCCGTGGCACCCCGAGCTTGGCACGAACCTCGGCTCTGACGAAGCCACCTTGTGGCGTGGGCCGGGAGTGCAACGAGCATCGCGCCCCGCCCCCTCCCTTTGACAGAGGATCGGAAGCTGTCTGAGCCCACGAGGACCAGCCCCCAGGCCCACCCAAGCACGGAATCCCTTTAGCTTATGTTAGATACGCAAAATCCGGGAGAAAGTGGGGGGAAGGGAGGGAGGAGGATTTTTGTTCATCGGAAAAAATAAACTTAATTGTTGAAAAATGCCCAGGCAGAACAGGATGTTAGCCTCCTCCTGGTCTCTCTCCCTCCCAGGGCTTTGGACTCTCCTGTCCATCTCCCACAGGTTCTATGCACCTCACCATGGCCACCCACAGCTACCAAGCGATGAAGCGGGAGGATTTGAACCCAGGTGTCTCCACACTATGCAGTCGATCACATTTCACCATGCCGTGGGGACTACAGGGGGAAGGGGATGGGTACTGAAGGAAAGGGAAAGAATGGAGCAGGATGGTTGAGTATTGATGAAATGGGGGAAGGGGGTTAGGAAGAAGGGAAAGAATGGGACAAGACTCTGGAAGAGGAGGAGAGGAGGGACTGGATTGACAGGAATGGGGGGTTATCGATAATAATAGAATAGGGATGGCATTGTAATAGCAAGCATTTATATAGCATCTTCTGTGTGTCAGGCACTTTATAAGTATTATCTCATTTGGTCCTCACAACAACCCTGGGAAGTAGGTGCTATTATTATTCCCATTTTACAGGTGAGGAAACTGAGGCAGATGTCAAGTGACTTGACCAAGGTCCTACAGCTAGGAACTGTCTGAGGCTAGAGCAGAAGTCAGATCTTTCTAACTCTATCCATTGGTGCCTTATCTTGATGTAGGGGATAGGGTGCTAGCCTATGTCAGGAAGACTTGAGTTCAAATCCCACTTAAAATATTTACTAGCTGGGTAACCCTTGCAAGCTTCTATGGGCCTCAGTTTTCTCATCTGTTAAACAAGAGTAATTCCTTTTAAATCTATGAGCTTATGATTACCAAAAAGATGGAGGGGAAGAGGCAGGGGACTGAAGTGCATGAGGGAGGAATATGTGTATACAGGCGCAAGGAGAGAGGAACCTAGGACACTGGGGAGGCCAAGGTGGCACGCCAGGCCAGGAGGTACATAGCTTGTTGAGACTGAAAGGAGTTCCAAGCCCCAGGGAAAAGGTGACACAGAAACCCAAGCCTTGAGTGAAGGGGAGGGCTCAGATACAATTGGGTTCAGACAAAAGGGGGCCAGATGTGGGAAAGAATCTTCTTAGGGGAAATGGGGAAGAAATTCATTTGGGCTTGGAAGAAGGGAGCAAATTTAGGATATTTACCTTCATAGGATATTTACCTTCTAGTGAGACTTCCCTGGAACGAGCAAGGTCACTCTTGTTGCCCACTAGGATGATGGGTAGATCGTGGTGGGGACGACCAGCCCGAAGCCTAAGCAATGTCTCAGGCACTTTGGAGAAACTTCTCCGGTCAGTGACAGAGAAGACAATGAGGAAGGCATCCCCAGTCTGAAGGCAGTGTTCCCTGAGCCAGCTACCTGCCTCTCCCTGTAAGAGGCGACATAGAATCAATCACTGAATGTTAGGGCTAGGAAAGGGACGTTAGAGGTCAGGTCTTCCAGTCCCCTAATTGATAACAGTTAAGGAAATAGACCCAGAGTGGGGAATATATTTGCCTAAGTACTAAGTGGTAGAAGGGGTGTGCTTGTGGGGGAGTGTAAATCCCATCAAGCTTCCACAGAAGAGAACTAGGAGTACAGGGGCCTGTTTAAAAAAAGTGCCTGAACTGTTGGTTAAAAAATGTGATGGTCATCTTGATTCCATTTTGCTATCATATAAGCTTCCCTCTTTGTCTTAGAGCTGTAAGTTTCTGCTAACAGGTTGGGCTTTTCCAGGCTAAACTTGTATGCAGCAATTTCACTCTTATTTCAGCATTCTGCTGTGTCAGGGTAGAGGAGCAGAGATCAGTTATGTCATTGTCACTCTGCTTAGCCAAAATGATGAGAACAGAAGGCCTGAACTCTAGGGAAATTCTGAGGAGCCAAGGCCCTGATTCCTGAACCCTCAGCATCTCCCATGATGAGATGGCCTCCCTTCACCTTTCCTACTTTCTCCCAGCTTTCAAGGATATTCTGGATCTTACCTGCTCCCAGATGTCATACACCACCAATGTCACTTCTTCTTTATCCACTATGATGTGTCTTTCATAGGTGTCCTCTGTCAGGACAAAAAAAAAAAGGGGGGGGGATAGAGTCCTTTTAGTAGGTGACCCAACCCAGACAACCAACCCAGGGACCCCAGCCACTAAGGCCATCTTTATAAGAACTTTTTCCTAAGGAACAACCTTCTAGAGGCCATAGACCTTCCCCTCCACCTCGGGTCCTCAAGTACTGTCTTCTTAGGGTTCCGAAGATCCATGCCTCCACCACCTGGTCTTTATGGGCCATATATGAGCCCCACCCCAATACCTGTGTTCTCAGTTTCATGGGCATTGTCGTCTTGGAGTCCTCCAAAAGTGCCTGCCAGGGCACTTTTGCCCACGCCGCTCTCACCCAGAAGCATCACCTTGAAGACACCACCTCTCCCAGCTGGTGTTGCCTCCCCTGACCCCAGAGAGTCAGAGGAACCAGAGGATAAGGCTTGGGGTGGCCAGTCCAACTCGTCCACTGCCTGGGCCCGCCTCAGCTGGTGTTTGTAGGGCACAGGCATGCTGCCTCTCCGTCGAGGAGCTCCCCCAGCGGGGGAGAGCCCAGCCCATTCCAAGCCTGCCAGTAGCTTGTCTCGCTTGTTCTGCACTGTGGCATCTGTTGCAAGGGGACAGAGAGGTCAGTTATGTGCAGGGTCTCTCTTCTTCTGTGGAGGAAGGCCAACTTTGAACAGGCTATCTCTTAGCCCATCTGCAGAAAGGAATCTTGATTTTGCATTCTTCATGCTTCTCATGGTAGGATTGGAAGACCCCAGCACTAGCCTTGGAGGCAGCTGGGAAGTTGATACTTATGCCCCTCACCCCAGTGACATGGGATGTCAGATGCTCACAATAGCATGATCTGAGAAGAAGAGCTTATCTCCTTCATGTGATTTCCCCCACTAAGGTCCATTACAAAGGATACATATGTATGGGGTAGCACAACATACGCTTACTCACAGGCTCTCACACACCCACTCACACATGACACATGCATGAACCCTAGGCCTGGCCTACGGCCTTAAAGCTATCCCTTCTCCTTGTCACTCTTTCTCATTCAGCTCTGCTTTGTGGATCTCCCTGCTATGACCATGCTTCTTTTATTGTTAATACCTAAGTCAGCTGCTAGGCAAGAAGAGAGTGGGTACACAAGAGATTTTTTCACAGCTTGACAGGCTACTGGGCTGAGGAAGTAGGGTGAGCAGAGAACTGTGAGGAGGGAACCTGTTTCCGGAGAGTGAGTGTGAGGATGTTCTTGTCCAGGGATCAGTATGTCCATGGGTGTATCTGTGTGAGAGGGACTGTCCTGTCTTGTTATCTCGGTGATGAGCATAGGGAGAGAAGTGGGGTGTGCTTAAGAGAATTTGTCTGTCCCAAGCTGTCCCTGTGAGTGGGAGCGTATGTAGTGTTTGCGTAGGGGTGGAAGCGCAATGTGAGTCTGTGAGTGTGCGTCTCTGTGCTCCTTTGTGCGTCTATGAGTGACAAGGTATGGGTCAGTGTAACAAGAGGAGGTTCAGACACAACAAAGAGGGATGGGGAGAGGCTGGAAATAGCCCGGATCGATAACCATCGGCAGTCCGGGGCTCCAGAAGCCTGGAAGAAGCCTTCACAACAGGTCTTGGGAGCGGAGCTGTCCCCCTCCCAGTATCTCTGGGATATGTTCTGGCTTCTCCATCCTCTTTTTCCCTCTCCCTCTTCCCTCCCCCCACCCCTTCCCCAGCAGCCTGCCTCCTTCTTTCTCCTTCTCTGTCCCTCTAATTGGTCCCCTAACCTGCGCTGCTGGGGAGTGAGGTGGGGCAAAGGGGAGCCAGAGGCTAATCTAAGATGGTAGGGGCTTATAACCAATTTCCAAAATCCGAGATGAAGAAGGGACTACTAACATCCCTACTTCCGACCTTAGCACCCAAACCCTAGCTGGGAATTCCTGCCTAGTTCTGAGGGGCTATTTTCCTTTTGACCGCTGTGGTTCCGTTTCTCCAGTCCCCTGATCAGCCTCTCCTCTCCACCTTACCAAAAAATAAATAAATAAAACCCTACAACCTCCCCGCACCCCCGCCCCCTCACCGCACACGCAAGGCTGCAGTCAGTCTGTACTAGGGTTGAGGAATCAGCCCCCCTCACCTGGTGTTGGTATCACTGGGGAGGAAGCCCCACCGCCTGATGGACAGAGGGCTGTTGTGTCCGTATCCGTGTCCATATCTGTGTCCGTGTCCGCGTGCATCTCTGTGCGTATGCAGCAGTATTGGCTCTCTGAAATCTTTCTCTCACTCAGCAGCTCTGTCAGCTTTTCCCTTTAAATACCACCCCCTTCCCCCGAACACACGCACTCTCCACTCCCCCTAGACACCTGGGGGAATAGCCCCGCCTCCTGCTGAAGTCACATATGCTAATTAGAAGTGATGTCATCGGGATTCCCTCCTTTCAGATTCCCCACCCCACCCCTTTCTTTTCTCTTTCTTTGTGCTGCTTTCCTCTGGAATCCCCCAGCCACACACATATATCTACACACCCATCCTACTATCTGGACCTGAACGTGACAAAGACAAAGTAAGAGGACCGATACACAGACAGAGAAATAAAACAGTTATTGAGAAAGATTTGGACAGAAAGACATATGGACAGAAACAACTGATAAAGAGTGAACGATATAGAGAAGGGATAGGGAGATGTACAAGCAAATAAAGGAAAGACTTTCTTATTTCTATGCCTCAGTTCCCCAGGTAAAAACTACTTTCGGAATTCAGAGGGCTTGTATAGTTGGGAGGAAGGGTACTGGAGCAGTACCTTTGAACTGGGCTTTGAAGTCTGTGAACAGAGCTGGAGGAAAGGACATTTCAAGTAGAGGAAACAGCATGAGCAAAGGCATAAAGGCAGGAAAGTACAAGATTTATTTGTGGAATAACTTAGTTTCTTTTAATTGGAGTGGGAAGTGCATATTGAAGAGTAACGAGAGTGAGACTGAAAAGATAAGGTTGAAAAATTTGCTGAACCTTGAATGCTAGCATAGTTTGGACTTTATTTGGTAGGGAGCCATTTAAAGTTTCTGAGCAACAGAATAACATAATTTGATCTTGTAAATTTGGGGGAGCGGCAGGGATTAATTTATGCTATGTAAAGGCCCTTTTAATCTCTTTTATTGCAGTTTGACATTCTTTGTATTATCTAGAGTTGTTTTGGTACACATCCTATTCTCCCTATCAGACAGTAAGCTCCATTAAAACAAGGACTGTGCCTTATTTGGCAAATCCCTTTCTCCATCTGGGAACTCAGTTTCCTTATCTGCAAAATGGAGGAGTTGAACTAGATAATCTCTATACTTTCCTTCCCACTCCTAATCTCTGCATTCTTTTTGTTCCCTACAGAGTTTTGACTATAGGTGTTCAGTGAATGTTCGGTGAATGAGTGAATGAATGAAAGACAGACACACATCAGAAGAAGGTCATGACACTTGGTACCAGAAGGAAGGGGCACATTATTAACCCAGGGAGAAGCAAGACCCAGTGTAGAGAGCAGGGACTCTGTGGTTCTTTTTTTGACCACTTAATTTTGCTCCCCAAATTGGTGCACGGTGAGACCACCTTGTCTATCAGATCATGGTGAGTTCAGTGACAACATTCTACTTTAGGAAAAGGGAAATGTGAGTTCCTAGAGGTAGCAGGCACCCAAAAAGGTGGAGGGGACACGGACCCAGAGGTAATATAGTTGTTTCCCCTTTTGTTTCTGTTTTGAAGAGGACCAATGACATCATGGGGTGAAATCTTGACTGGCTTGTGAATTGGATTTAAGTGAGGCAGAGTTGAACAAAGTCATCAGCCTTAGTCTTTCTTCCTGAGGCATCAAAGTCCAGTGGCAAGACAAAAATCAAGATGACTGGATGGTCTGGGGTGCAGTGGATGACCTTGGCATCTTTGATGTCTGACCAAGTTCTAAGCACTCCACAGCACCTGCTTCAGCTGCCTTCATAGCTGTTGGAACAAATTGTTCTCATCTGCCCATTCTATCAGGGGAAGTCTTCATATGCTTGAGGTAGGCATCCCCTAACTCATTGACAGGTTTGAGGCCTGTTGGTTACCCTCAACCTGGTTTAGCCCATCTGCCAAGATGGTTTTACTGGGATGTGGTAGCTTTTCACGCTACAGTTTCTTGGAGCCACAGGTGAAAGTTAAGATGCTATGTCCAATTGGAAGGAGGATGTTCATGGGAAGGACAGGGAATAGAATTGTATCTCATTATTTAGGACATAGGGTGATTTTTACCATGGTCCATTTCTTCTATCCATATTACTTCCCTTATGAATTGATATTTCTAAGAATTAAGTACATAAGAAACAGTGAAAGGAATAATTTTAGAGAAATCTTTGAAGGTTTCAAATCTATGAGCTGATGAAGAATGAAATGAGAAGAACCAGGGAAACCATTTATATACAATAACAACATTTTAAAGACACAGATGGCACAGCTAGTGGATAGAGTGCCTGCCTTGGAGCCAGGAGGACCTGAGTTCAAATCTGCCCTCAGACACTTGACACTTACTAGCTGTGTGACTCTGAGCAAGTCACTTAACCGCGATTGCCTCACCAAAAAGCAAAAAAATAAATAAATAAATAAATAAAAGACACAGACCCAAGAACTCTGACCAATTCAATGAGCAAGCATGATTCCAGAGGACTAGTCAGTCAAGAAACATTTAGTAAGAACCTACTATGTGCTAGGCAGTGTGCTAAATAAGTACTGGGGATATGAAAAGAGGCAAAAGACAGGCTTGCCTTTGAGGAGCTCACAGTCTAGTGAGGAAACATGATATATCCATCTCCCTATAGAGAGGGGTTGGACTTAAAATGCAGGCTGAGATGTACATACATTTTTTGGACACAACCAGTTCAGGAATATGTTTTGCTTGACTATTCTTATTTGTTATAGAGAGGTGGGAGGGAGAGAACATAAATTCTTGTTCGTTGAAAAAAATAATTTTTTTAAAAAAGGGTGAGGTACAACAGATAAAAGGGAGGGTAGGGCAAGGTTTATAAGGGTTAAGTAACATAGAAAGTCTCTTCCTGGGCTCTGAGCTGGCAAAAGACACTGGTGGATCCTTTCTTACCTCCCCTTCTTTTCCTTTCCCCACTCACCTTCCTCCCAAAGTGATGGTGGAACAACTCCTCTCCCTTCCCAGACCCTGACCTCCCTTTTCTCAAGCCCTAGAGAGAAGTGTCAAGGTCTGCCAACACTTCTCCCCCTGCAGCATCTAAAGAAGCCCCATCAGTAGAGCTCTAGATTTAAGAAAGGTTGGATTAGGTGGGCCCCTGCTGGCTGCATGGATTTGTCTCTCTTACTTCTACTTTACTGGTCAGCCCTCCTATTAACTCTTTGTCTCCCTCTCCCATTACCCCAATTTCACCTGGTGTTTTTATGCTCTATAGGGCACATGGAGGTTTCACAGAAGGAAAGGACAAATGGAAATCTCAGGAGTAAATTCAATGTCACCTAATTTAGTAGCAATAGCTGAAATGTATGTAGCATTTTAAAAGTACTCATTACCTCATTAGATCTTCATAACAATCTTGTGAGGCAGTTACTACAGGTATTATTATCCCTTGGAGGTCAGAAGGAGCCATATAAGTACACTCTCAAGGTCTTTCTGAAGAACTTTGGGATTGATTGTGAGACATAAGAGACGCTGGCACAGGACTGTCCAGCATGGTGTGCCTGCATCAAAGGGCTGCGCTCTATTAGCAAAGCAGAATTGCAGCAGCTCAAAGGAAATGTGAGATGAGCAATTTCAGAGACCTCTCCACTCCAAATGTTCATATGGACTATTTGTGCCCAACATGTGTTAGAGCCTTCCAAGCACATATTGCTCTGAACAGCCATAGTCGGACCCCAACGTGGTGATGTTATTTTAGTCCCCTATGAGAACAAGGGGCAACAACCAATTGTTCCTATTTTACAGATGTGGAAACTGAGTCAGAAAAGTTAGGTAACTTGCCTATTGTCATACAGCTAGTGAGTTTTGGAGGTGGGATTTGAGCACCGGTTCTTTCCTCAAAGTCCAAGGCTCTTTCCATTATACAGTACTGGTCACTTAGAGAGGTCACTTATTGAGTAGCCTCAGCTATCAGGGACACACCTGAGAGCCCAAAAGGAAGCACCCTTGAATGATCACAAAGATATGGCACCAAGCCCATACACTAAAACTCCAGGCAGAGTCCTTTCAGAACCTCACCGAAAGCCTCACTCAGAGCTGCACCTATAGCAGTGCCGATAGATAGGCCTCCACAGTTTAGAGGGAGCAATTTGGGAGCGGGGGAGTGGCGTTCCAGTTAGTATTATCAAGCAGTAAGGACTGCTAGCCAGCAAGTGGAGGGAGGAGATAGAAGAACTACAAAAACCAGACATAACTCAAAAGCAGAGTAGTATGGGATCAGTAAGTGTAGGGACAGACACACACAGACACACACACAGAGACACACAAACACACAGACACACATACACACTTATATAGCTATAACAGTAAACCACCTCTGGTCCAAAGGGCCTGGTGCTCTTCCCCCTGAGGAAATTCCAGCTCTGGATTCACATTCTAATTAGTGTAACTTTACATTACAGTTGACTGTAATCTCTTCAATAACAGGCACTGTTCAGATCGAAACATACTATTTTCATATTTTTTTTCCTTTTGGTCTGTTTCTTCTCTCACAACATGACTGCATATAGATAACCTATATATGGGGGAGGGGAGGAAGAAAATTTGGAATTCAAAATTTAAAAAAAAGAATGTTAAAAATTGTCTTTACATGAAATTGGAAAAATAAAATACAATTAGGAAAAGAAGAAGAACAAGAAAACAGACACTTTGTCTTTGGTCTTTGGATCCTTAGCCCAATCACAGTGAAGGCCTTCACACATAACAGCTGCTTAATGAAGCCTTGTTGGGCTGGATTACATCAGAGCAGGTCTTCTGACTCCAAGACCTCCTCTGAATGCTCTTTCCACTGTGTAGTATGTATATAGAACATACAATGATTCACGTTCATAATGATGACCCTGAAACATGACAAAAAAAAGTTAAATCATGTTGAAGGCCAGGGACATGTACAATCTACTTTAGAATGATTCCTATAAAATTAAAAACAGCAAAGATGTTTTAAAAACTATGGTGCTTAATACAGGTGATCAGCAGTTATCTAAAAAAATGAAAAGATTCAGTCACATGGAACTGCCTGTTTCCGACTAAGGCTGAATAAATGAGGTATAAGTTCTCTGCACAGGAACAGACACACCAGACTGTGAGTCTTGCTTGCTGATGTCTGAAATAGCTCTAGAGACTGACTCCATTCTTTTTGTCTTCAAAGACTTTG